TCTTTATGGAACCATCTAGACAAAAAAGGTTCTTCTATGGCATCGGGAAACACCTTTATTTTTAAGAGTGTACATTGAGAAATATTCTGACTGTACTACAAGTACAGTATTAGAAACCATACCTGAGAATCATTTTACAGTATATCATTCTTCTTTCAGACCTTTCAGTCTTTTCAGTGTCATTTCTTTGTTCATTCATATCTGCTTCTACATAGTACAATTCAACTTTATCATAAATGTTTACGCAAATTTTACTATCACTGTATAGGTACATTAAGTCCATACCAGTGTAAAAAGATGGCAAATATAATACAAATATTTACATATACAAATGCTTTTCTCTGAATTTCTAAAAAACTCTTTTTCAGTCTTCTGACTCATTTTGGCTATATGGTCATATATTTTCATGTGATATCACACCCTAATAGGAACACCCACCTGCCCTGGAGAGCACCATGTGGTTTAATGTGGCTTAATCCATTAAAGACAGAGATATTGGCAGATAAAACCAATAGTTCTCCTGATAGTTCTGCCAGCTGTTTTATTGTAGAAACCAAAATGTTTTATGTGTAAAAAAACATAGCTAATATTTCTACAATGCAAAATCCACACAGGTAATAATATTTCAATTTCAATTTTATTTTGCACAAATTCAGATGTTAACTTTTAACATCAAGCTCAAACATTCAGTACCCAAATTCTAGTAAGTGAAATTATAAAACAAATGTTTTGATTAATTTGTGTGTTATAACATTGTCAATAACCAACACCATTAGCCAAACATTGCACATCTATTCTAAAATAAATATATTTTAAATATATATATAGCTTCTTTGACAGTGTTGACCTAATTTTTAAAAACTCACTTTCTAAGAGTTTGAGGCTTTTTATGTACTAGATGAGGTAAGATTAAGTTTAACAGCGTAGAAGGTAGATTGGTGCCAAGTCTTTGTTGGTAGGCTACTAGTTGGAATATTTGTTAAATCCAGTTTAACACATTTTTACAGCAGGTAACTGTTTTAAAGGGGCTACATTATCAATGTTACGTCGACATTTGTGGTGTATATTTAAAGTTCATATTATTTACAGAAAGTGAAAATTGTGGCAATCCTACAAGTCTTTTCTGCCGAAATTGTAAAGTGCGTGACGCCGCTGCACGACGCCGACCGTTGTGCTATTGGTTGAAATACCGGCTCCTCAGATTCTGAGGCATCTGATTGGTCGGGTGGAGATATGGGCGCATCTGATTGGTCGGGTGGAGCTATGGGGGCATCTGATTGGTCGGATGAAGCTATGGAGGCGTGTCACCATGCGGATGGTGTAGCCGGACGGACGCCGCGGCTGTTTGTTATTGAATGAAAATCGTTTTTATGTGGCGATAATCCTACTCAACACAAGAAAAAATAAGTTTATATGTTTTAATAATTTGTTAACTTATTTAGTCTTTATTAGCATGTAATTACGCACCTTTTAACATCTTTCAATATTCAGGTTCTAGTTACAACTCTTAGTTAAAGCTCTAGGCCTTGAGCAGGCGCCGGTGGTCGATTTTAACAATAGCCGAGGAACAGTCGGGTATAAGCGGACACACTTCCTCCATGAGACGAGCCCGCAGAAACTCATCTCCATTACAGCAGTAAACAAACAAAAGAAACAGAAACCACAGGAACCCTGCCCGGATGGTGCCCGGCGTTTGAAGCGTTTGCAGATCACATATGGACAGTTCCTGATCGTTTTTCTGGGCTCACACAATAGAAAATGTCTAACGGTGCAGCGGGAAGCGGGGGCTTAACCTGGGTGGTAAGTCGTATATGATTACTAACGTAGTAATTCATGTATTATTACGCAAATATATCGCATATTACGTATTATAACCGCTTTGTGTCCGCATACATGTGCTTTAGCCCTTTGGCTGCAAGATTAATTTAGCTCAACATGAGTGAGCTCACAGACTCATCTGCATCTCTCTATTATTCATTCAGTGCATCTCTTTTAAATACTGCACATTAATCTTAATTTTGTGTATTAAGATGATGCTTTGTGAGGCTCTTCATGGTGATGTGGAGGAAAGCTCTTTTGTGTTGGTTCTCATCAGCTGTGAACGAGTCTTTCCACTGATTTCAACTTTTTCCTCATTGTTAGAGTCAAACAGATGACCATTGCTTTATTACAGCCAAAAGCCCAAGAGGGTTTATTTGAGTTTGATCTGTATTTAAAACCACTCAAAGCCACAACAAAAGAGCAGCCCATAGGGAGACACAAGTTAATTATGAGAACTGATCCCAGACCAGTACTAATGCTTTGTTACACAGTAGTTACTGGGTTTGCTAGTTTCACTTGTTTGTTTGTCTGACTTTGTAAAGATAATATTTTTAATCATTTGTAATATTAGGTTGCAGCCCTGGCCATCATCAAAAAGCTGTAATGCTTATAGTTTATTTATTATAACTCAATAAACGAGTGAGTAGTGTGCGGTGCCATTTGAGGCCATTGCATTGGAAAGTCACTGGAATTTCTGACAAGTTAATTCAGTGTAATCTAGGAAATAACAGCTCAATTTTGTTTGTGGAGTGAGTTCAGCAAACTTATACAGACAGAAAGACACATTTACAGAGAGTATCCATATTGCACATCTTATATACTCAGAATGGTTGTAATGCAGCTGTAAATTCACAACATCTAGATGATTCACCAAATATTTTGGTCACCCTCTGTTTCTGTAAAATAATTACAACATTAAAGGAATCAAAAAGTTGATTTGATAGCCGCAGACAAGTTTAACAAAGTTGCATGTATGGATGTATCTAACAACAGACCCTCTTTGACAAGAACAATGGTGCGAAAAAAGAGGAAGTGAACGGCCGGGGAGAAGCAGGGAAGAGTGAGGCGGTCAAGAAAGAGAGCTCGAAGAAGATGTCAGTGGA